TAATCTGTATTTAAATTGATGTTTGTTTGAGGACATACAAATGTCTAAATTTGAAGAATTTGATATACATCATATAAAGGTTTAAATTTGGCTAGTTTTGACAATAAAGATAGAAAATGAATTGGGAGATTCGACAAGTTTCAAGCACTAGATGAAGATCTTGCCATCATTGGATCATTCTCTAATTTGGACATAATTATAGATATTGAGGTTACCTATCATCTCCAGGTGGATTGGAGTAAGTCCAGTGATAGGATCCCAAGAGATGCCTATATTACAAAAGATTAATTGTTATGATGACGAGGTGAAGCAAGCAGTCGACCGATCGATCACACTATAGGCCTTCAATCGATCACAAATCCACAAGAAGACATTGTTCGGAAACAAAGCCAATCAACCGATCACATTAAGTGTGAAGAAATAAATAAAATTCTGTGAATTCTTGAATTTGGAAATACTTTGTGAAATTTTTTCGAAATCCTGTGAAATCTTTTGGGAGTAAAAACCGACCTAAGCTAGGAAGAATCACGAAACCCTATGGTTTTTACGTTTTGTGCTGTAGACATCGCTGTGGAGCACATCTACTGCAATGTTGTTGCTTTGGTAATAAGAAATGCTCATATTCGTTTGATATTCGATAGTTGTTTTCTTCAAATGATTCATCCAAATGATACATTTGCTGGAAACTGGAAGCTCTTGGTTTTAGTTTGAAATTGCATGTGTCGAAGAATGAATAGTTGGATTTTGTTTATGGGGATTGTTCATTTTGGAAAACTCTTATATCTAAGCATGAACAGAAGAAAACTCCACATTTCATCCCTTATATACTGAATGACCAAACGAGTATATTCCCAAGTATAATTACACTTATCTTTATTGCTTTCCATGTCCAATAACAAAATGCTGCAATACGAAATTAATTTTAGCAGAAGCAGTTTTCTTAAGTTGTATTTTACCTCGCACATGAATTGTCAGGCCAATTCCAAGTTGCATATATGTGCAGGAGCTAAAGCTCGAACGCTGGCCTGTTTTCCCCGTCACTTGTATACTTTGCTTGTCTAAGAATGTCAAGGCCAGTGATACGCACATGTAATTGAGATATATTAAGATAGCTTCAAGCAACGTTCTCAGACCCATTGGCATCGCGCGTCAAAGACAGAACCTCCATTAGTTCCATTCGATATTCCAAACCTCTGAGATAATGTCCCAACAGCATGCACCTTTCAATAGAAAGAAGACACTATGATATAAGATTTCTTTCATAACAGAACCAAGACACAATACAGTTTCTTTTGAGAGGATATATTTGTGTCTGTAATTAAATATATAAAATCCATGTAAAGCCTAACA